CAGCCTTGAACAAGCCCACAGCCCCGACGGTGATGGCCGAATAAACTTCATGGAAACTACCCTGAGCAGACAGGCCCAGGTCATCAATGTAAAGATCCAGGCTGGACGACGGATGCAGCTTGACATTCAAAAAGGCTTTCATGTAGTAGGCCCTGACAAAACTGGTGGCAATGCTGCATCCCGCAATGACACCACGAATCGCCAGGAACGGCCCCTGGATGAAACCGCTGATGTTTAAGTACCTGGGGGCCCGATAGGCCGTGATGCAGAGCCTGGAAACAACCTGGGGGAAATCCGACTCATCACATCTGGTAGCAAGGTCCTCAAGATCCATGGTTTCGTAGAACTTATACATGTCCCAGAGGAGGGGCGCCGAGCACTTGCCAAGCTGCACGGCCGCTTCACTCTTAGTAGTCTGCCGCCAGACAACATCCGAAGCCGACTTGAAACCGTAGGCAGCGAACATAGCATGCTGGTTAGCCTCCTCCCACATCATCGCCTCCCTCCTCCTGCATCTCCCCCAGAGTCTGTAGGGCGAGGTCAAGATGCCTATGGGGCGGAGGCCGCCAGACGGCTTGGCCAGCATTGCCAGCATGACTAAACGCAGCTGCTCAGGCAAGACGGCCATCGTCTCCATGATGGCGAAAAGCAACGAGACAACTTGCAGGGCCTTGTCACACAGCAGCGGGTAATGCCGAAGGTGAAAGCCGTCAACAGACACAGCTGACCGCCTGGAGTAACCCCTGCTCTTCTCCCTCAAGCACTCAGGCGAAACCAGGGGAAGATGTTCCAGGGGTTGGTAGGGCTTGGGGCCCATCAACTCGAACAGTTCAGTTTCGGCCAGCCATAGCTTCTGAAAGCGTTCCCCTTCAGCGCGCAGAAGGGAACGAGGATCGGAAACCACCTGGCCCGCAGCACTGAGGGTCGTGGAGGGAACCCAAGCCTCTACAGGACGCGTCCAGGCGTGAGCATTGCGGCCGCCGCCCTGGTCTATGTCCCTTAGAAGCCACTCCTTCCACGACCGCTCACCTGCAGCTCGAGCCGCCTTGGCAGTCGAGTCCAGTAGGTCAGCTAACTCGATGGACACGCCGCCTATGGCCTCCAGGGTGATCTTGTCCTGCCTAATGAAGCCCAAGACTCTACGGTGGGCCTCGAAGATAGCACCAGACCCCATGTGCTTCTGTATGAACGGCGACCTTCTTGGCACTCATAATAGGGATCCCACCAGAACAGTTGCGATGCAAGGTCCTCCAGGAAGTGGTCCAATCCCTGAAACTCTGAGAAAGCCATCTACAAACAAAAAGTTCAGGATGCCGAGCTGGCCGCTGGTCACGCCCCAAGACAGGAACCCACCAGGCCTTGGGAATCTCTCCTCGACACCCAGTCTGGGGGAGCTTAACCTGAAGTTGATTGGCAAGCTCAGCTTCGGCAAGGTTGGCCCATCGCTTATACAAGTCGGTGAGCCCGTAGTGAGCATCCAGAGAACCCCGACGGGCACATTCAAGGACTTCATAAGCCAAGTCCAGCGTGGAATCCCAGTCCTGGGGAGCAGGTCCAGGCCCGACAGGGACTTCCACAGGCAAAGGAGGAGGCTTCCTGAACTGTAAAACTTTAAGATCGGCTAACCTGGTATGGAAATCGACCCCCGCGGGCGAGTGGGGAGACGTAGGAGCATACCTGTCGACCCACGTATCCCTGATACCTTTAGATAAACCACCAGAGACCACGAAACAATCATACACCTTTCCACCAGCTGAGCTAAGACAAGTGGACAAACCTGCCGTGATCACCTGGCCCTCTAACTGCTGAACGAAATTGGAGTCGTCAAGCAGCGAAGGCTCCATATTGAAACCGCCTCCGATCACAAAACTGCTGAGGCTGCTACTGGCAATCGAACCGATCTTCGAAAGCAGGGCCAAATTCCTGTCGGACAAACCCTCGCAGCACGACAAGTAGCAGGAGATGCACAGGATGGGAGGAAGGTCCCCAACATGAACAACCCCTGCAACGGCACGAAAGTCTTCAACCACATAACCCCCTGGGGGCCAATGAAGGCCCAGGCCAGCACGAGCTAGAATAGCCACACCTCCTGAAGTACCTGAGTCGGACGAAGCCTTAGCACACCCGAAGATCGATTTCCAACCGTGATTAAGGGCCCAGCGCTGAGCATCTAAGGTCTGGTGCGCGAGCAAGTGGTGCTCCTGGAGCAACACCACGTGCGCCGCCGTCTGCAAGAGCCAATCCTTAGCATAACTCCAGGCCGTGCAGTTGCAAGTGACTATCTTCAGGTTAATGGCATCCCCCCCAGGGGCTGGGGGGGGCCCTAAAAACTTCAAAACTTTCAGGTCGAGACAACGAACCTGAGGGACCAGGAGTCTGCGGACCGACAGGGGAAAACGCAAGATTGGGCTGAACACCAGCCCGCGTTTTGCAAAAGTCCCCCTGTTTGCAGACGCCTAGGGTGCTGTTGGCGGAACACAACAGCGAAGCTATATATTTATCAAGAGAACGAATGGACTGGGCCAGGCGATCCTCGAGCTCCGCTCGATTCAAGCTAGCGCAGCGTGGAGGCTGGGAAGAAATGGGATGATGGGCCCCCCTGCCCGCGCTCACAGTGGAGTCACGCGGGAGGGGGCAACGGGCGCTTGGTGGGGCCCAGGGCTGTCTCAGCACGTGCTCGGACGTCGGGAGGTGCATCGCCAGCGTCGCCAGGCTGCTTGGCCCCCTCGCCGTCGGGCGGGCCCGCCGCGGTGCTGGCAGCCGTGCGGCCGTCAGGGCCCGTGCCCGCGCCGTTGGTCGCAGCAGCCTGGCCAGACCCTGCGCCGCCGCCAGCAACGGCCGCGCCGTCCTCGCCCTTCCTCTTCTTGCCAAGACGCTGAACATGCTTAGCTTGCTCCTCACGAGCAGACTGGGCCTTCTCCAGCGCCCCCTTGAAGAGGGAGTTGCACGCCTCGCGGAACTGCTCATTGAGCGCTGCCCGCCGAGCTGCCATTTGCTCCTCGTCGTCGTCGGAAACCTCGTACTCGCCCTCGTCGAAGAGGAAGATCGAGTCCAACGAGACCATATCCAGCACATTGCACGAGCCCTGCATGAGCTCCGACACGTCCACCTTGGCGCGTCCAAGCGGCTCTGCGGGGGTGGGGTCGACCACGTTCCCAGCCAGCTCGCGGACCAGGTCCTTGTAGTTGTCGTCGGCCGCCTGCAAGGACTGCTGAGCCGCCGCCGTCGCAACCTTCTGCTCCTCCACCTGCTTCTCGAGCTTGGTGAGCTTGTCGAGCTCCGTGGACAGCTTGCGCTCCAAGTACTGCACACTGCTGTGGGCCTTGGCCGCGCGCTGCTGGACGGGGGCAGGAGTGGAGGTGCGGAGCAGCTTGTCGAGCGCCGATTTGTGACGGGAGGCCGCCTCGCCGTCGCCAGACTTCTCGCACAGGCCGATGAGCGTCCGCAGCTCGGACTCGGACAGCTGGGCTGAAGATGAGCCACCTGGATGCCCGCCAGCACCGCCAGGGCCGCCAGGAGCAGGCACAGGCCCAGGCTTGAGGGCAGGCCAGTGGGTTCCCGACTTCGGCCAGCCTTGCCCGACGAGACCTGGGAATCCTGCACGCATCTCGCCGCAGTGCTTGCAGGCGATCCAGCCCTCGAGGTTCTTCTTGCATCCACAAGCTTCGCAACGCCAGCGGCGGCCTGACCACGACACAGTGTCTTGGCGGGAGGGAGACCAGTTCCAGTGGCCGTCGCCGCCAACCTGGGTGTCCCACTGGCCGGACGATGGCCCAGCCCTGGCCGCCGCCGACCCTGCTCTCCAGGGAGCCTGCGTCGACCACGCCCCACCGCCATTGCTGCGAAGCTGCCAAGCATTCTTGGCTATGCGAGAAAGATACCGAAGCCAAAAAAAAAGGCTCGCACACACAATGCTGTCCTGAAGTTGGTGTGTGCAATGCCCAAAGCTCGGGCACAGGACAGCTAGGAGGAGAGGAAGAGAGGAGGGAGGAGGAGGAGGAGGAGCATAATGAGGAGGAGGAGGAGGAGGAGGAGTCGCAGGCGAATGAGGAGGCGAAGGATGGGCAGGATGAAGACTGACTGACTGGTCCTCCAGAGGAGGGGGTCGGTGGCCTCATGCGTGGCCGCCTTGTCGTGGGGGGTGCCAGAGGCCTGGGATGGCCGTCGTGCGCGACCCCACGACGACCGAGCTCGAGCCCGCCTCCATTTTTTGAGGGTGGGGTGGGCGGAGCTGATCTTCAAAGCCCCTTCTGCCCAGCACCGACCCGACTACAGAAGAGGGGTTCGGAGAGAGGCCCAGCCTTAGGAGGGGTCGGGGGAGGAGGAGGAGGAGGAGAAGGAGGAGGAGGGAGGAGGAGGAGGAGAAGAAGAGGAGGAGGGAGGAGGAGGGAGGAGAAAGAGGAGGAGGAGGAGCGAGGGACACGCAGAGGAACACGGAGAAGGGAGGAGCAGGTGGAGGGACGCCCCTAAGATCCAGGCGTTGTATTTTTGTCCCCCCTTTGGCGCTCGTGCCCAGTCTCGGGTCCTGGGACATCACACATCGATCAGGCTCGAGACGTGCAGCAGGAAGATGGGGTTTAGGGTTCCAGTCGTGACTTCCAGCGATGCTGCAAATTTTCGCATCGCAATATCTCAGCAGGGAGGAGGATTAGGAGGAGGAGGGGGAGGAGGAGGAGGAGGAGGAGAAGGAGGAGGGAGGAGGAGGAGGAGGAGGAGGAGAAGCAGGATGATCAAGGAGAGGAGGAGGAGGAGGAGGAGGAGGAGGAGGCGGAGAAGGAAGAGGAGGAGGAGGATGAGGAGGAGCAGGAGGAGGAGAAGACGGACCGTTCTGGCCACGCCCGAGGGGGTGTGCTTTACCCAACGACACGCGCTTACCCCTGGGCAGGCAGGGAAAAGGAGGAGCAGGAGGAGCAGGAGGAGGAGGACCTCCTCATCCTCCCTCCTCCCCCCGTCCTACATGTGTGGTGGTGGGGGGGGAGATTTTTCCCCTCGCGAGAGAGGTCTGGGACTACCCCCTCTCCCAGCCCGAGAAGCACCGCCGCCTTGAGCTGCTCCTGGACGGCGAGGCGCGCCTCGCCACAGAGGCGCGCGCCTCCCCTTGCGGCCCCCCCCCGCGCTGCCGCCGCCGCCGAGGGCAGCCGCAGGCGGCGTCTCGAGCAATGGCGAAGCGTCCCGGCCTGCCTACAGGTCCCGCCAGGGAATGGTTGTGAGAGCCTCTTTGTGGTCTGCACGAGGTGTTCTCCGAGCGCTTCTCTGGCTGAGACCGTCCGGTTCTAGCACATAGGGCTCAGGTTCAGAGAGCATTGTCTCTGCTCTTGGAACTGATGTCGGTTCTAAGAGCACCTCGTGGCAGGCATATAGAAATGCCGGGACGGTCGGTCCCTGCTCAAGTCGGGAGCCTCGAGACGGGGGTCAGTGCAAACGGGGGTCAGCCAGGGCCCCCTCTGGCTGACCCGGGTTAGGGAGCCGCTCGTGGCCGCGAGGCGGCCGCGCGTATTGGCTGACCCGGGTTTGCGAGGACCTGCGTTGCAGTTTTTTTTTTTGCATTGCAGTTTTTGGTTTCCTGCTGACCCGGGTCTGGATTGACCCGGGTCAGAGGATCCCCGATCAAGCGTCGCTGTGGTTGACCCAGATCCCCGACGCTACCGCAGGTTGGAGCCGCCTCGGGGTCCGAGGTGGTCCAACCCTGGGTTTTGGCCAGTACACCTTAGGCGATGCTTAAGAAAGCTTAAACTTTCGGCCAGAGTCTCGATTATTCTTAATGTTTCAAGGTAAATCCTAAGGTTTGAATGGAAATTTTGGGTTTTTATTCAAGTTCTGAGACTCTGAATTTCTTAACCCATGATTTCTTAAGCATTTCGCAGGGTGTAGGAGGGGCCGGCCGGTTCGAGGCTCTCGGGCTGGGGAGGAGTTTTTTGTCCTCTCTGGGCCCCGGGACAGCGAAACATGAATCGGGGGTGTAAGCAGGCAGCAGGTTGTCCCCTGGTCTGGGCACCGATTTCGAGCGGATTTGGCCTCATCCTCTCATCTGACCGGTTTTCCAGGGCTCCATCCGTTCAGGCCCCCCAGCGGCCTCCAGACCACATGCGCAACCAGTGTCCAGTTGCGCTGCCGCGCGATTCCGCCACCGCGCTCGGGCGGGCGCCGGGGGGGGGGGGGCGGGGCCTTGGGGGCGGGAGCAGGGGGGGGCTCCACGGACCCCCCCCCCCGTCCCCAGGCGCTCTATTCTGGATGACAAAAGAGAGGAGCTCTAGTTTGGATGGCAGAAAAGGGAGGCTCCATGGACCCCCCCGTCCCCAGGCGCTTTATTTTGGATGGCAGAAAGGGGAGGGACTTGGCCACACAAATGAGCCAATCTTCGGCTCGATTCGTCGAGGGGCCTGCAGTGATGTTTCGCAGAAGCAGAAGCCAAAGGGCCCGACGCGTCAACCGCTACAAGCGCGATGGCGGATCTAGTGTGGACATGTTTGACGATTCGCGTAACCCCACCAGCCCATGCAGAAACGATGCCCAGACGAGTTGCTCTAATCAGGGATGTGGAGTTCAATGCATTGGAATAAAGGGTTGGGTAAGACGTCCTACCCAAAGAGGGGGAGGATGGAGGAGGAATCGGAGGAGGAGCGAGAAGAGGAGGAGGAGGAGAAGGAGGAGGAGAAGGAGGAGGATGAGGAGAAGGAGAAGGAGGAGGAGGAGAAGTTAGAAGGAGGGAGAGGGAGAGGGAGAGAAGGGACGAGGAAGGAGGAGTAACAGGATAATGAGGAAGAGGAGGCGGAGGAGGAGGAGGAGGAGGAGGAAGAGCAGAAAAGTCAGAGGCCTCTTGGATGCCTCTCGGAGTCTCTTCGGTCTTCTTTCGAGGGTGTCTTAGGGGGGTCTCTTGGATGTCCTGGAGGCCTCTTGGGGCGTCTTCGGTGCCTCCGGAGGTTCTCTTGGAGCCTCTTGGGGGTCTATCGGGGGCACCTTGGGGGCATCTTGGGGGCCTCTGCGGGCCTCTTGGGGCCTTCTGGGCATGTCTTGAGGCCGTCTTGGGGCACCTTTGGGAGTCCGGGGGCAATCTTGGGGCCATCCTGGGAGAGATCGATCAAAGGAGGGGGGCTCCTTACTCAGAGTTCTACCCCAGGAGGCCAACTTGGGTCTTTTCGCCGAGACCTCTTGAAGCGTCTTGGGTGCCTCTTGGGGGTCTCTTGGGAGCCGCTTGGGGGCCTCTTGGGGGCCTCTTGGGGGCCTCTTGAGGGCTTCTTGAGAGCAATCACAGGAGGGGGGCTCCTTAATCAGGGTCCCCCCCCAGGAATCAATGATTTTGGAAGCCGCTTGGGGGCCCTTTTGTGGCCTCTGGGCACCTCTTGGGGCCCTCTCGGGGCTCTCTTGGAAGCCTTGGGGACCATCCTTGCGCCATCTTGGAGGAGATCGATCATCAAAGGAGGGGAGCTCCCTGATTAGGCCCCCCCCCCAGGAGGCCAACATGTGGCCAAACCTAATATGATCTATGATTTGGGCTTCCTCGCCGAGGACATTTTGGACGCCCCAGCCCCTCGCGACACGCCCCGTCCAAACCTAAGGGGGGGAGGGCGACAGGTAAAACCTTCCCCGAAGGGGCAGGAGGGGAGTTGGACGAAGACACGCCCTAATCCACTCACGCCTTGAAGGGCTGGTGGAATTCCGCTGCTGAGCTTTGAGATCAACGAATTGCTGAAAGCGCTGGGTTTACGTCGGGATGGAGGGGGTTCCCGTGCGCGCCCATAGGTGAAAACAGTGATTGCCCGTGAGATCCCTTGCAGGAGAGGTGAGTCTGGGCCCCCGTGGAGGCTGTGGTCTGGGCTCAGATCGGGCGTCTGTCCAAATCTGTTGCTCGTAGCGCGTGACGATGACGTCTGTGGCGTACCTCTCCAGGTTGTGCATTTTCTGACCACAGCAGTCCTCCAAGAACCTCCTCCTCCTCCTCCTCCTCCTCCTCCTCCTCCTCCTCCTCCTCCTCCTCCTCCTCCTCGACGGAGGACCTGCCCCATGGCGTCCTGCCGGCAGGAACGCTCTCGTCGTGTGCAGCTGCGGTGCTATTCTGCTCTTCTCGCGCGTCCGTCGCTCCTCGACCTCTCGGCCCTGGGGCCCGTGGTCGGGCCCTGGCGCCATGCCGACGGGGCCCGGGGCGGGAGAGTACACCTTAGGCGATGCTTAAGAAAACCTAAGTTTTTGGCCAGAGTATCGATTATTCTTAACGTTTCAATGCAAATCCTAAGATTTTGATAGACATGTTGGGTTTTTGTTCAAGTTCTGAGACTGTGAATTTCTTAACCCATGATTTCTTAAGCATTTCGCAGGGTGTACCCCCATGGGGAGGGGAAAGGATCGGCGGGTCCTCGGATCGTCCGCGAGGCCCGGGAGGGGGGGGGGGGGAAGCGAGAAGGCCTGGCGTCGCTCGGACGTGTACGTTTTTCCCGCGGGCAAGGGCCATCGAGGAGCATCCTTGATCATTTGGCGAAGAAGCCACGCACGAAGCCGCAAGACAAACAGGGAATGGACGTCCGAGCGATGGCGAGAAGGTGCGGGCCTTCTCAGAAGGCTCGGAAGTCCCCGGGGCTTCTGAGAAGTGTTCTCAAGCCTCCCCCGAAGACACAGCACAAACCTCCCAGCAGGCCAGGGGGGCTTCTGAGAAGTGTCCCGCCGTCTGCTGAGAAGGCATTCTCCTTCTCGTGTTCCCCCCCTCGCTCGCCGCCGATCTGAGGCCGCGCACCGAAGCAAGCACGTCGTCGGATGTTCCAGCAGCGCCGCAGAGGCCGTCGGCGCCGCTGCTGCAGGAGGGCCCCCGTGGAGGCGGCGGGAGGCCTTCCCTGGCGCACTTCTCGACGCTACGGCCGGGCCCGCCACGGAAATTGGGACAGGATGGACCCTGGGAGGGGTCTGGATCGTCGTCGTCGTCGTCGTCTTTGTCGTCGTCGTCGTCTTTGTCGTCATCTTCGTCGGAGTCGTTTCGGAAGCTTTGGAAGTTTCTAGCCCTCCAGGACCTCCAGATGCCTCCCGGGCCCCGCCCGGGGGGGCCCTTGGGGCCGCAGGGGCTGGCAGAGGTCTCGGGAGACTTCTGGGGCCCTCGGAGTGCGTCGTCGTCCTCGTCCTCGCCGCCTTGTCGTCCTCGTCCTCGTCGTCCCCGCCGTCGTCGTCTAGCCATCCCCCGTTCCCGCCCACTCTCCTGGTGCCCAGCCCCGTCGGAGCCACGAATGCGCTACTGCCTGCAATGCCGGGCCTGAGGCGCCCCTCCGCTCCCGAGTCTGGTTGGCCGGCACCCTGAGGCCTCATTGCTCGAGTAGGATGGAGATCGACTGCAGAATTAAGTTACCCCAGAGTTGGCACTATCGCCAAGTCTACGTAAACGTACGTAGAATGCCTATAGATCTACCAGCGGTCGACGCGTGTTAAAAGAAGCTGGATTCGGCCAAAATGCAATTTTCGCGGTAAATGAATCCTACAGTCGATCACCTAGTCGAATTGCACTCCCGTCCCATGTGCCCGGCCTTGCCCGCTGCCCTCCCTGGCGCCAAGACCTCGTCGGCACCGCCCGCCCGCGGCAGGTTCGGCTCAGGCCGCTCCGGCAGAGCACGCGGCGCCGCGCCCCTGCCGCCGCCATCGCCGCCGTCGTCGGCGCCGGCCGCGGCGTCGTCCTCGCCGCGGTCGCCGTCGTCGGTGTCGGCGGCGTGCTTTCTGTCGCCGTCTTCGTCTCGGCGCCGTCCTCGCCACGGCCGTCTTCGGCGTCGGGAGGCACCCGGTGGCCCTCGGCGTCCGGCGTCGGCGTCGTCGGTGTCGTCGTGCTCGTCCTCGGCGTCGTCCTCGTCGTCCTCGTCGTCCTCGTCCTCGTCGTCCTCGTCCTCCTCGTCGTCCTCGGAGTCCTCGGAGTCGCCGCCGCGGTCGTCGTCCTCGGAGTCGCCGCCGCGGTCGTCGGTCTCGGCGGCGGCGCCCGCGCGGCGCCGCCGCGCGCGGCACGCGCGCAGAGCCATGGCCTGCGGGGGCGCGGCGGGCTCTGGCGCGGAGGCGGGCGCGGCGGTGCTGGAGGGCCTGGCGCCCGGCGCCGAGGGCAGGGAGGCGCGGAGACCGGCAGACGAAAGCTGATCGGGCCGGGCGGAAGGGGTGTTGGACGGGAAAATGACCACAGCCGTTGCTTCTTGTTTGCGCCGCCTTCCCGCCGGCCGAAAAAGAAGCAGTGGTTGTGCTCAACGCAAAATGACCACAGCCACTGCTCGAAGAAGGGGCTGGAAGGCGGCAACAAAACAAAGGCAGTGGCTGTGGTCGTTTTCATGCCCCGTAAGGGGATTGGGAAAGGGGGGGTTACGAAATTTGCTGCATGCAGCTGGTTTCGGCCTCGCCGAGGAGCCCATTCCTCGATACACAAGCCGCCTCCGGCGCCGGGAGGCGCCGGGAAAATCAGCTACGTGAGCTGATTCTCAACCCCCCCTTTGCTATCCCCCCCTTTCGCCCGACCCGAGCTTAGGGGAACAAAAAATGGCATAAACATAAAAACTCGGAGGTCCGCGTGGATTTCTCGGATCGGCGCTGGGCCCCCCCGGCGGCGCCTCTGGCGCATCCGCGCGGACCTCCGGGTTTTTATGTTTCTGCCTTTTTTTGTGCCCCTAAAGCTGCCTGTCGAAGAAGAGAAAACGCCATGAACAGAAGCTTGTCGCGCCCCGCCCGGACATCTCTTGGCGGCGCGCCAGGCCCCCCAGCGGAGCCTCCGGCGCTTAGCCTTTGGCGCGCTCCGCGCGCCAGAGAGCAGCGCGGATCCAAGAAATCCGCGCTGAGCGCCAAACTCTTCATGCTCATACAGTTGTTTCTTCTTCTAGTCTGCACGCTCAGAATGTCCAGAGCCCCGAAGCATCTGGGTTGGTGGCGGTCAGGGGCAGCTTTACAGATTCGCGCCTGGGGGGCCCAAGCCAGAGTTACCCGGGACCGCAGTTATCCCGGATAGTTCGGTCGCCCTCCCGAATCATCAGCGCTGGAGGCGGTTAGGGGTAGCTGCAGATTCGCGCCTCGGGGGCCCAAGCCGTAGTTGCCCCGGACCGCAGTTATCCCGGATCCTTCGGGCGCCCATCGCTCCAGAATCATCAGGGCGGAGGGTGGTCAGGGATAGCTTCAGATTCGCGCCTCGGGGGCCCAAACTGGAGATACCCCGGACCGTAGAGATCCCAGATAACTCGGGCGTCCTAATACCGTCAGTTTGCTGACATCCAGCTCCTTTAATTTGCGTGCGTTCCGTTGCTGTTGGAGGGGGGGTGCGACCCCTTTCGTTAATCCGAAGGAGCAACGAAAGGGGTCGTTCCTTATTTTAGTATCTTGGCTGTATGCGGGGAAGCATGTAATGGCATACACATAAACTTTTGGAGGTCCGCGCTGATGTGGATCGACGCTGGACCCCGCCTAATGGCGCCTCTGGCACCACCCCGGCGCGCAGAAATCAGTGCGGACCTCCGAAATTTCATGTTTATGCCATCGATGGTCCCCGATGTACGGGTACGATGCCCAACAGCGGTGCCTTGTTTATTTGGAACCAGATTTGTTGTCCGTCGGGGGCCATCGAACAGCAGGTCTTGCCATTTCGATTGCAGACCTTGTCCACTTAGCAGCCCTGGCTGTCCAAGAAGACAAGACTTGGAATCGAAAAGACAGAAAAGACATTAGTTGTTGTCAGACGGGCTCCGAGGGACAGCAACTGCAGAATGTTTTGTTCCACATGAGCAGGCAAGGCTGTTGGGCATCGTACCCATACTTTCCGTCCCCATGGCGGGCGTGCAAAGAGAGGGGGTTGCAAAGGTGGAGGAGAATATGCTCGAGGTTCGAGGGTCTGTGGCGTTTTCGCCGGCTTTCGGCGGTTTCCCAGCCTCGAGGTGCTTTCCAGCGGCTGCGCCTTACCAAGGGGCGTCCGGGGGGATGCCCAGATCGCCCCGAACGGCCGCCGCAGACCCGGCTGTGACCCGAACGCCATAGGACGACCATCATTGGCTCAGGGGGTACGCATCGTCCCAATGATAAGCGGGGGGGGTCAGGGGCCACGTCGAGTGGGGTCACCTTCGGATCTGGACCTCTCCGCGTCGCGACATCGCTCGCGACGACGTGTCTGTCTCTCTATGCTCATCCTCCCCCGGGGGCCCTCGTTGGGCCAAGGATCCGCCTCGGAATGAGAGAAGCCAGTCTCTGGGAAGGTGTCCAGACTCTCCTGGGGGTCCACGTCATGTGCGAAGTCGGGGTCTGAGGAGAGATCCATCGGTTCGGGCAACTTTGGGAGGGAGATCAATGAATCAGAACAGGCGCCCAACCCCGAGAACGCGAGCGCCGATTTCGGGGAGGGAGATTCCGGGCAGGCTTTACCAAGGGAACAGTGACGAACGTAAACCATATCTCGAAGCATTCGGCCGATTCTCGAGTCCTCGGGCAATCTGCGATTGTGGGATCCGGGGCTTGTTTTCTCTGAATCGGGATAGGCTCAGGGGTAGATGCTTCGACCCCCAATCGCCCATTGATCGCCGAGAGGGGGCCGATAGCCGTTCCCCGCCCGACAAGATGGGGGCGCATCGCCGAGCCATGGGCGATATATCGTCGATTCCAGCTCGATGCTTTCTCCTGATTCTGTCCCTCCACCTGACGTTCCCCCTCGTCAGGGGAGGGATCGGGAAATGGGGGGGCGCGCTGTGAAAACTGCTGCATGCAGCTGGTCTTGACCTTGCCGCCGGGGCGCAGTCCTGGATACTGGCATGGGCGCGCCCAGCGCCGGGAGGCGCCGGTGAAACCAGGCATGCGTGAGCCGATTCGGTTTCCCTCGTTTGTCACCCCCCGCATGTCTTAGGGGGCGAAGAACGGTACAGACAAAGCTGGTCCGCCGTCGGGGGCGCCTGTCCCAGGGCGGCTGGAAAGTTGATACCCCCACGGTGGCGGGTGGTGGTGCAAGCTCACCAGCCGCCCTTGGACAGGCGTCCCCGACCACGGGAAAGTTTGTCTCATACCCTTCCTCTTCCGCTACATGTTGTCCGACACGAGATCGGCGCCACCCCAATCTACTGATACTATGTGTGCGTCGCCCATCCAGGGGCGACGCGCGCGCTGAGAAATCTTACAGTAGAAGCTCCGTGGCGGGCGCTATCTGGCCACACTGCCCGGGAAACGATGTACTACGAGATGCTTGCACGATCTGTTTGATTCGGACGCACGCCTCTGAGGAGGACACATGCGGCGTTCCAAAAAAGGCCTTACCTTCGAGGGTCGAAGGAGTTGCCATCTCTTCCTCGGCGGAAGGGCGGCGGAAGCAAAACGTTTTTGGGTTCATGGTTTCCAGAATCGGCCATACCTTCGGATCGGGCGCTCGCCTCCGAGGAGGGCACACACAGCACCACAGCACTACACCTTAGGCGATGCTTAAGAAAACCTAAGTTTTCGGCCAGAGTCTCGATTATTCTTTAACGTTTCAATGTAAATCCTAAGATTTTGATGGACATGTTGGGTTTTTATTCAAGTTCTGAGACCATGAATTTCTTAACCCATGATTTCTTAAGCATTTCGCAGGGTGTACAGCATCTGCTCCTGCGTCCCGCGAGAGGCGCTGGAGGGGCTGCTGGCCGAGTTCGGGGACGTCTCGCTGGGGGAGCCCGGGGGGCCGCTGCCGCAGCCGCCCCTCGCCGCTCCGCGGGAGGGCACGATGGCGGGAGGTGCCGGGCCGGGCCGTCGTCGGCCCCTCGGGGGGCCTTCGCTGGGCTCATTTCGATTCCTCCGATTCGATTCGATTCGATTTCGGTGGCCTCCGACTCCGATTCGATTCGATTTCAGATTCCGATTTGGACGCCGATTCCTCAATGGAGGCCTACGAACCTGCCGATTCCCGCCGATTCGACTTTTCCCGACTCGGCTGCCGATTTCCGCCGATCCGATTCATTTCGATCGCCGATCCGACTTGTCGATTCGATTCTGGGGGCGTCTGCCTTCGCTGGGCCAGCTTGGCATCGCTCGGAGGTGTGCATGATTCCTTGGGCGAGGGCCATCGAGGAGCATCCTTGATCATTTGGGGAAAACCCACGCACGAAATCAAAAAAAAACACAGTGAATGGACGTCCGAGCGATGGCCAGGCAGAAGAGACCTCGTGCTGTCGGCTAGGCGTGCGCCGAAGAAGGAAAAAGGCCAGGAACATGAGCTTGTGGCGCTCCGCGCGGACTTCTTGGATTGCCCCCGGGCGGCGCCTCCAGCGCAGCCCCTGGCGCGCCCCGCGCGCCAGGGAGGGGGGGTCCAGCGAAGATCCAAGAGGAACCTGCGCGGACCTCCCAAAGTTTATGTTTATGCAGTTTTCCCTCCTCTAGTAAGAGTGACCTTTTGCAAGGGCGCCCTCGAGGGCGCGAAGTTATTCGCGCTTCGCGGTTCGGCTCCGATTCCTCCTCATCCTCCTCTTCTCCCTTGGGAGGCGGCGCGAGAGCGCGAAGTTATTCGCACTTCGCGCTTCGCGCAGCGCGAACCGCGAAGTTGGGAGCCCTTGTTTTGAGTGACCTTTGCTGCGGCCCACTGGTGTCCCCCGATCGCTGAACGCGAAGCGGTGGTAGCGGCTTACGCGCCTGGGTTCGGCCACCCCGCGTATTTTGTTAAGCCGCGGCCCAAGGGTCACCCTCGCCTAGGGTCACTCTTTGCGTGCAGCCGATGATGAGCAGCGGGTCGTGTGGACCCCCAGATACTGGCGTTGCAACTTTTTCACAGCGGGCGTTTTCGCCTGGCTTCGGGCCGCAGGACCCTCACATATCGATCCGGCTGGAAGGGTGAAGCAGCAAGATGGGGTCCAGAGCTCGGGCGATAGTTTTTTGGCGACGATGTTGCATGTTTGCTCGCAGAGTCAGATCTCAGGGGAATTTGTCTAGAGCTTCTGCGGGGTGGGGGGCGCCTTCTTGTTTGGGTGAGGGCGGGGGCGCTGCAGAACTCGGGGGTCCTCCCTGGCATGTCTCGGTCCTTTGTTCGGAGGTGCTTCTCTTGTCGCCGTCGCCGGGTCCGCGCGGGAAAAGACAGGTGAGGGTGGGCCCCCGGGAGGGGTCCAGGGATAGATGTGGCGCGGATGGCGGCCGGGAGGGAGAGGGGGCGACGCTGTCGCATGTGGCCGTCCTCCTATGCGGGCGCTCCAGACAGGTTTCCCAGTGCAGTCACATGGTCTAGTTTGTAGAGCTCTCCTCCTCCCCACCGTTCCTCCCTGCTTCTCCCCCCCCCTCTGCCTCCCTCGCTCCCTCCCTCTGCCTCCCTCCTTCTCCTCATCCCTCCTCTGTCGCCCTTCTCCCTCCTTCTCTCCTCCTCCTCCTCCTCCTCCTCCTCCTCCTCCTCCTCCTCCTCCTCCTCCTCCTATTCCTCCTCCTCCTCCTCCTCCTCCTCCTCCTCCTCCTCCTATTCCTCCTCCTACTACTCCTCCTCCCCTGCTGCTCCATGTCCGTCTCATCCTCCTCCTCCTCTTACTCCTCCTCTTCCTCTTCCTCCTCCTCCTCCTCCCTTTCCTCCTCCTCCTCCTCCTCCTTCCCTGGGTGTTGGGAGGCTGCCAGACTGCATCCGAAGCCAGTGACTCGCGCAAGTGGGTGCCGCGCAAAAGCCCATGTTCGTCCCGCGTATTATTTTTCTGTGCGAGGGAGGGGCTCGGGGGGGAGGGGGTGGCAGAACGCTTCTCCTGCCCACCCTTCCTTCCTCATCCCCCTCCCTCCCTCGCCTCCCTCCTCCTCTTTCTCCTCATCCTTTTCCTCCTCTCCTCCTTCTCTCCTTCTCCTCCTCCTCCTCCTCCTCCCCCTCTCCTCCTCCTCTCCTCCTCCTCCTCCTCCTCTCCCCTCCCCCTCCTCCTCCAACTCCTCCCCTCCTAATTACTCCTCCCTCCTCCTCCCCATCCTCCCCCTCCTCCTCCCCATCCTCCCCTCCTCCTCCCATCCTCCCCTTCCTCCCCTCTCCTCCTCCTCCTCCTCCTCCTCCTCCTCCTCCTCCTCCTCCTCCCTCCTCCCTCCTCCTCCTCCTCCTCCTCCTCCTCCCGCTGTCGTTGTCCCTCCTTCTTTCCGCCGCTCGGGGCTCGGGCGCCCCACGCCTGCCGGAAGCTCGCGCGGCCTCGACGTCGGGGGGGCCCCGGCTCTGCCACCGATCCCTCGGCGATGAGCCGCTGCGCCCGCCAGCGCCCCCCGCCCCGCGCCCGTCTGCCTGGCGCAGTGCGTTTGCAAGGGCTCCCACGAGGGCGCGAAGTTATTCGCGCCCTCGTGGGAGCCCTCCTCCTCCTCCCCCTCCTCGTTCCTTCTCCCTCCTCCTCCTCCTCCCTCCTCCCTCCTCCTCGTCCTCCCTCCTCCTCTTCCTTCTCCCCCTCCTCCCTCCTCCCTCCTCCTCCTCCTCGTGGGGGGGCGGCGCGAGAGCGCGAAGTTATTCGCGCTGTCGCGCTTCGCGGAGCGCGAAGCGCGAAGTTGGGAGCCCTAGGTTTGCCGCATCGGGGACCCGGAGGGTGTCGTGGCGTGAAGCGGATGGCAGTGCCGTGCTCGACGGCCGCTCGGCCCTCCCCAGAGGTCGAGAGGACTCCTTCGGACTCGGTGAGCAGCAGAGCGGCGCAGCGGCAAGAGCCGGTGATGGGCCGTCGATTCGGCGACGACTCTTCCTGCCCCCGTGCCTGAGCCAGTCCATGCCCTTTCGGCCCCCTCGGATGCGTTGAGAGGTTTTCTGAGGCATCTCGAAGTTGTTGGAGGTGTCCAGGTGGTTGCTGGAGCTCTCCGCTTGGTGTCGGCAGGTCCAGGAAGTTCCAGGAGGCCCGGTGCAGGCACACGCCTTCCTTCGCCCAGCCGAGCCCATGGCCATGCAGCGTTTCATGCGGAGTCGGGTGGAGTTCTGTGCTCGAGGTGCGCGCGTGGTGGTGGTGCGAGCGGGGCGGGGAGGGCGCTTCTCAACGGGGCCTGGGTGCTCATAAGAAGACCGCTCAGGAGCTGGGCTGGCCTCTGAGAAGCTTTTTGCCTTCTTTGAAGCTCCCCCGCCTCCGCAGGAAGGCCACCCCCGTCGCCCCGCACCCAGCTTTCGCGTGCATCGCCAACTCGCAGGCGGCTTCTCGCCGCAGTCCCCAGACTCAAACCGAAACGACTAGTCATTGAAAAGTGAAGGACTACAGGAGGAAAATTCAAAAATAGTGAGAAATAGTCTAGGGACGATTGTTCGACCATGTTCAAGTTTCTTTTGTGTATATGCGTCTTTAGGTATTCTTGATTTGTCATACAAAATCCGCCTGTATGGGGACACGCCCGACCTAAGTGTAGTCCCTGGGGTCTGCCGCCCTCGAGCTGGGCCCCGAATGTTTGTCGTCTGGCCGACCGCCCCCGACACAGACAGGCATCTGCGTCGCCACGCCGTTACCAACTCCTCCTCATCCTCCTGCTGCTGCTGCTCCTCCTCCTCCTCCTTCTCTTCCTCCGGAGGGCTCCCCGCCCCCTCTCATCTTTCTCTCTCGTCCCCCTCCCTCGTCCTCCTGCTGCTGCTGCTGCTGCTCCTCCTCCTCCTCCGCCGTCGTCCCTCTCCCTCGTTTCCGCTCTCGTCCTCCTCTCTCGTCCTCCTCCTCCTCCTCCTCCTCCGCCTCGTCCACTTCCCCGTCCCCAGAGGAGCTCATTCTGAGGATCGGCGAGAGGGAGAAGGCCCCCCCCGTGCCGCCCCCGCGGCTCCTCCGATCGCCCACACGCGCGCCCCTCGCGCAGAGGGCGCCTGGCTCGACTCGAGCTGTAGGCCTTCCAGGGGCGGCTTCCTTGGCTTGAGTTGCGGATCACGGTACGATTAAGTCGGGAGTGTTTTTCTACAGGAGGAGATTCAACAATAGTCAAAAAATAGTACGGGGACGATTTGTTGATTATGTTTTACTATGTGGGAGGATTCCTGGGGTATGTTTGATTCTTCGTCCAAGATCCCCCTGTAGGGGGACGTGCCCGACCTAACCGTACGGTCGGACTGGGCGCCTCGGAGGAGGAAAGAGTACCCACACAGCGGCCCGTCGCTCGTCTCCCCGTTGGTGGGCCTCCCGGGAGGCTCCCTTCGCCGCCGCCGGATTCGCCTCGAAGTCCTCGTCAGAACGCGCTCCAGGCGAGGTCCGGGGAGCAGCGGCATCGGTGCTTGCTGGTCTCCACAGTGTGGGCGCGTTTCGTCGTTTCGTCCTGACGTGTCCCGTGCTTTCTGGGCCTCCTGGAGGCCTCTCCTGGGAGGCCTCTCCTGGGCGGAGCAGTGCCTGCAGGACCGTACTCGCGATTGTTTGCTTCTCGCGGCAGATGTTCGACCTCGTTGCCGATGTCGCTATCCGCGTCTCGGGGCCCATTGTCGATCTCGTTGTCGGCATCTTCGGGGGGGATGGGGCCATTGTCAGTATCTCGGTACCTTAGCTGCCTTGATACTCAGGAGGGGAAAAAAACACACAGACACAATTAATCGTCGATCCCCAGGAAATTATGGGAAAATATGTGAATTTGGCGGGAAGACAAAAACCCAGAAAATATGGGAAAATATGGGGAATCCTTTTATTTGTGTGTTTTTATTTGTGTGTCCCAGTTTCCCTTTAGATACGCCAGCGCTGAAACACAGCACGTGCCGTGTTCAAAGCCGTCGGATTGGGCACGCTGCATGTTGGCTAGGCGCTCGTTTGCTCACGCCTTGGCGAGCGTGTCGCGCCAGACCTGAGTTTGGTTTGTCTGCATGTTGAGCTCCGTGCCAACACGGTCCGGGTTGCGCGTTCACGTTGTTTCGTCCTGGCGTGTCTCATCTTTTCGAAGGATTACAAAAAACCGAAGGATTGCAAAAAACCAAGGATTGCAAAAAACCCAGGATTGCAAAAAAACCAGGATTGCAAAAAACCGAAGGATTGCAAAAAACCCTTACTCGTATGGCGCTCTCAAGCCCGTGCCCGGGTTTTTTGCAATCCTTCGTTCATGGTTTTTTGCAATCCTTGGTTTTTTGCAATCCTTTGGCCTCCTGGAGGCTTCTCCTGGGCGCAAATTTGGCTGCAGAGCCTCAGTCGCGATGCATAGCATCTCGCGGACCATGTTCGATCTTGGTGTGGACATCTCGAGGCACACCGTCGATCTTCTGGGAGGCATTCTCAGTGTCTCGGTAATTTAGCTGCCCTGATGTGCCCGTGCTGAATCGCAACACGCATTGTGTTCAAGACGTCCAGTTCAAACACACTGCGTGTTGGCTCAACGCGCACTGGCCTACGGTTTGGCACATGTGTCTGGCCAGCTGTAGTTGTTCAATCTGCGTGTCGATGAGCTTCGTGTCGTCACGCTGCGGGCTGCGTGTCGCGCATCATGGCAGCCGAGGTCAGTACGGACACAATGGGCACGGCGTGGTTCGCCTTCTCGTCCCGGCGTTGTTCGTCTTTTCTGGGCCTCCCGGTCGCCTTTTCGTTTTTCGTCTTTTCGCCTTTTCGTCGAAAACTCGTCAAATCCAGCACAGTCCCATCCCGTCAAATCCGACCTTACTTTGGGCTTCCTATCTGTCTCAGTGACAGCATCGGACTTACTAACCTTTAATCTTTCTGGCGAATACCTCCACGAAGTGGCCTCCTCAGACTTCACCTCGTCCCAGCGTTCTTCGTGGGTTTCGTTTCGCGCTGTGAGCTGGGGATTCGCCCCGATGCGCGGGTCGGGATGGACACACGCAGGGGTCCCAGGCCAAACTCGGAGCGGACTGGGGGGCCACGCGGGAGAGCCGTTGCGTCTCAAAGGGGCACGCTTCCGCGGACGATACCTGTGCACAGCGCCGCGCTGGCGTCTCCTGAGGCGCTGCCGATCTTCGACCCAGGAACGGTGCGGTGCACAGTCTGTCGGCTCTCAGGAGCCCCCAAGCTGTGAACCGTACCACGTCGGAGCGGGGCCCGAACGGAGTCGAGGCATGGTACGGTGCCCTGGCATCGCTCGGACGTGTGCATTTTTTCTCGGCGAGAACCATCGAGGACCATCCTGGACCATCGAGCAAAAAAACACGCACGAAACCGAAAAATGCACGCGAAATGGACGTCCGAGCGATGGCAAGGTGCACGGGCGCCGTTCTCGTAACGTTGGGATTCGGGATGGCCGCCCGGTTTTGCGACGTGGGCTGCTCCCCGATGGCGTCTCGGGCGACGGGGGCCCCCAGGGTCCCAAGAGCGTGTGGAGACGGGCCGCGCGGTGAGGTTTCTGGGGGTGTTGAGGTCACCGCACGGCCTGTCACCGCACCGTTCGAAGACCCGCACGGACGCCGGTGCGATCAGAACGGGTAGGCAAAGGAAAGAGGACGGGCACCGACTGCAGTTCATGGCAGTTCTGAGCAGGGTTCGCTGTCTGCGTCGCCGTGGACGTTGTCCCCCTGCGGCAAGGAGGGTCGCCTGCCCACCAGCGGCCGCTGTCGGTTCGGGACAGCATTCGCGGTTGGGCATCGCAACCCGGTCTTTCCGTACCCACTTCGATCAGCCTCAATCGAATCCCCATGCGAATTTAGGCGTGGCGATGAGGGACGGGTATCGGTATCGGTATCTCTTCCTCTTTTTTGTTGCCCCCTCTCACTTCTTACTTCTCACTGGCGGCGGACACATGCGGTCTGGATTCTGGGGCGCGGTGCGGTGCATACATGGTCGGCACGATGACGTTCGGCGAGAGACATCCGTCAACCAACACGCCACGTGTCACCAGGGTCGCGGCCCGGAGGCCCAGCCCGCGAGGCCGTGGGCATGGGTATGTTCCAGGACGTGGGCCGGTCTGGACCCCCTGCTCGAGACCCGCTTGTCATCCTAAGGAGGGGAGGGGGAGGGGGACGGGGGACGGGGAGGGGGAGGGGGAGGGGGAGGGGGAGGAGGAGGAGGAGGGGGAGGAGGAGGGGAGGGGGAAGGGGAGGGGGAGGGAGGAGGAGGAGGAGGAGAGGAGGAGGAGGAGGAGGAGGAGGAGGAGGAGGAGCAGCAGTTTTCTGACCCCGTCGGGGCCCCTGGAGGCGTGGGCTCATTTCCATCCCTCCGGTTCTATCCGATTCGATGTCGATGGCTTCCGATTCCGACTCGATTCGATTTCGGATTCCGATTCGGATGCTGATTACTCGATGGAGGCCTACTAGCCTGCCGATTTCCGCCGATCCGATTCATTTCGATCGCAGGTCCGACTTGTCGATTCGATTCTGGGCTCTCCTGGGAGGCCCTTTCCGTGCGAGAAAGACATGCACGAGACCGAAACATGCACGGGAATGGACGCCCGAACAATGGCGAGAACAAATCCTTCCGTTGTTGATCACCTTCCCCCGCGGCGCGCCGCCGAGAGAGGCGCGCATCTGGAGCCTCGTGCGGGCGGAGGAGCCGGGGGGGGGTCGTCCAAGCGAGGGGTAATGTCCAGCGAGGGGGTGGATCTCATTCGGCGGCGAGCGAAGGGGGGAAGTGAGAAGGAGAAGGCTTTCTCGTGGAAGCGGAGAACGGCGTAAACATGAACTTTTGGCGCTGCGCTGCGCGCGGATTTCTTGGATCTGCGCTGGACCCCTGGCGCCGCCTCTGGCGCCGCCCCTGGCGCGCTCCGTGCGCCAGGGAGGGGGGTCCAGCGCAGATCCAAGAAATCCGCGCGGAGCGCCAAAAGTTCTTGTTTCTGCCGTTGTTCCTCCTCCTATTCTCAGAAGGCGGCGGGTCTTCTCAGAAGCTTTCTCGCGCCCTCCGAGCAGTGTTCTGCGTCTTGGGGAAGGCTCAGAGAATTTTCTGGGAAGGCCGGGGAACGTCCGAGCCTTCTGAGTCGGGGTTCAAGAGATGGGGTTCAATGCAAACGGGGGTCAGCCAGGGCACCAGATCCTGCAGGATCCTGCGAAGACCCCCTCTGGCTGACCCGGGTCAGCGAGCCGCTCGTGGCCGCGAGGCGGCCGCGCATCTTGGCTGACCCGGGTTTGCGAAGACCTGCGTTGCAGCTTTCTTTCCTGCATTGCAGTTGTTTGGTTTCCTGCTGACCCGGGTCTGGACTGACCCGGGTCAGATCCCCGACTGAGAAGGCCCCTTCTCGCTTCCCCCCCCCCGGGCTCGCCGCCGAATCGTGGCGGGGGCCGCGGCATCTCTCCCCGGTGCGCCCCTCGCCTGCGAGCCGCCGTGGAGGCGCCTCCAGCCTCCGCAGGGCGCCCGGGGGACGTCCACCACGTCCGGCCTGCTCCTCGCACGGGCGCCCTCCAGGTTCGTGCAGTCCAGCGTTAAGTCGGGCGCGTCCCTCTACAGGGGGGATATTCAAGAATACTAAGCAAACATAGTCTGGTGACGATGTTGTTAGTGTGTTTGATTCGCCTGGGGTACTGTTTGAACTATTTGCTATGTTTCGACTAAAATCCGCCTCTAGGGGGGACATGCCCGACCTAAGTCCAGCGACCCTTCGTGCCCTCGGCCTGAAGGCCAGGGCGAAGCAGGCTAGTCTGTCGGTGTATGGCCCCCTCGTCTCCTTGCAATGCGTCCGTTGGTCCACGCCTCTCGTCCGCGCACGTGTTTCTGGCACGACGTGTGTTAAGTCGGGCATGTCCCTCTACAGGAGGGATATTCAAAAATAGTCAAAATGTAGTCTGAGGACGATCATTATTCTGTTTTATTTTTACAAAGAAAAACGTGTCGTCCAAAATCCGCCTGTAGGAGGTGATGCCCGACCTAAGTTTTT